CAATGATTACCCGAATAGTTCCCATTTTCAATCCCCATAAGTCTTTAATAGACTAGAAAATCCACGGTCGATTAATCAACTCTTCGTTCTTTAAATCTCATATTATTTAACTTCAAATGTAAAAGCTCATTTTCGAGGCGCATAGGATTGAGTAATGAAGATGGAATAATGCAGCCACCCAGTGGAAAATTGGCTGCCACAACAACAACCAATCAACATACCAAATATCAATGCCAAATATATTCAAACGAAATTCATGGTAATGATTGGTAAACATCTCCATATTCATTCTCCCCTTCTTCGAGCAAGACTGAAACATGAAAATCAGAGACGAGCAAAAAAGTACCTAATGAAGTTTCAGGTTGAGAGGTACAAGGGCATAATTACATCGGGAGAAACTAGCGTATTCACTCGAAGGAGTTTATCGTTGGAATTGAGATGAGAGGATGGAAGATAAACTTGTGTAATGCACAGAGTGTGCATCAGAAACGATAAGAGGTTTCGTGCAGTTGAGAAAAGCAGAAGGGAAGTTACATTTGGTGGGGAGATTTTGCTTGCCTACATTTGGTTGACGTGAAATGCAAAGAGAATGCGCAATGAGGTCACACGTAGAGTGGATATACAGGAGTGACACATTCGAGGATAGGTAAGCCCGCTAATGAGCTCGTTGCAACTACCAAGTGACTCCTCCTTCTGTTCGTTTAGATACTGTTCGGCTGGTGGAACTTAATCATCGCTGGGGAAGATACTCTCGAGGAGTTAGTGCGGTTAGTCCATGAGAGGTTCTTTCTGAAGCATGAAAGGAGACTCCCCTAGGGCCACTTAACTAACACTCTTCTACACCTTGTCCATGAAAAATAGGGAGGAAAAAAGTTGTTTATGATTTTATCCACTTTTTCTCCAAGTATGCGTCTGAGAAATTACTCAAGTGAAGTTTCCTTCGAACACCGGTATTCCCCCAAAATCTCTACAAATCGCCAAATCTGGAGTCAAAAAGAAGCTGCCATGAATCAAGTTAAATTGGTTGTATGTAATTGACTTATTTCATGTTGGATCGACCTCGTGAATCAAATTTGATTCCGCAAGATGTTAATAACGTTCAGTTAAAGAGAGAGTCTGTAATCTTCAAAACTCGAGTAAACCCTCACAATTTCAAATCTCACAGCAAAAACTTGACAAAACTATTCTCATCACCCGGACTTTTTGGGCATTTGTAAGAACGAATGACCCAGACGCATCACGACGCACATCTATAGTCTTCTGGCCTAGTTTGGGGTATAAGGAGAGCACTGCGCGGACCCAACGATCAATAGTGCATTCTTGACTCGTACGAGTTAGAACTTTTGACTCTTTTGTGACGATTAATCGTCAAATTGTCGAATACCTCAAAACGAGGGATACCGAAGTTTTAATTGTAATAGGTGGAGACTTGCGGATTTGTATACCCAATCCACCATTAAGAGGGTTTGACGAGCTGTCGTCCAAGTAATAACGGTACAATTATGACGATAAAGTTGACCATTTCAAACTTTGCAATTCCGGCTGATTGAAGGCCGATTGAAAATTCCCATCGATTTTAATTCAACTCGTTCCCTCAATCTCCGCTGAACCTTTCCTCTCTCGTGTCATTAATTCGAGGGACTTTATCTTAGCCCACAGAGAATACCTTTTTCTCTTTTTCTTCATTACTTAAGCCAAATCCATTGAACATCCCCGAGTTACTTTCATAATCCCACCATTCCCGTAATTTCCAATGCCTCGTTAAGGCTGTGGGGCTCTAGTTTCACATAATTTCCCCTCATCATACAAATAAATCCACTGACTAAAAGGGGGATAGTGATCATAACAATGCACTTGTGCACTGCAAGGTGAATTCTCTTTCTTTTTTTTTTCTTTCTTGTTTTTCAAGAAAATAATTATGAAGCATAACTATAGAAAACATTGCTGGTAATGCAGCGGCACGCGACGCCCCAGATAGAAATTATTGCTGGGGTCAACTACACCAGAGGTGCAAGACTATATATATTTTCTCAGGATGTTTTCAGGGTAATTGGTAATTAATGCTGTCTACATGAATGCTGAGTTTTATGGCGTTCAAATGGTTTTGCAGAAGCTATTTGATTGCTTGTTTGTTTCTTCATTGAGTTGCGCTTTTTATATCCGCCAACATTCTTGACTGGACTCTTTATACAGTTTAAGACGTGAATAATGGCCCTGGTTTTTGTCGTAAATCATAACTCTCCTGTGATTTTCCACATGGTGACGACATAGTATTGTTATGATTCGTGAATCAGATGTTAAAATCAGATCTTGCAATATTCAGGCGAAACAGTTTTTGGAAAATTAAAGCATTTTATATCTCTCCACGTAAATCTTTTACAGATGAAATCCCTCACTCTGAACCACTTGTGAGGGTAATCGATAATCAATGGTCGTCTGAATGTGCCTGAATGCATATTTTTATGGCCTCCAAATGGCTTCATATAGACCCAATGTAATTGGTTTTTGATCTTCTCATTTCGTCGTTCTCATACCCAAATATCCTCCCCCGGAAGTTCATTCAGAATATTAGAAATGCATATAAAAAAGTTGTCGAAATATTTTCCACCACTTTTCGTGATAAACAGTTTTAAAAAAATTCTCAAATACATAAATATTTTTGAAATTGAGTGTATGCTCTATTAGCGGTAAAAAATCTCTCGCTCATTCGAATCATTCGTATTTTCTCTTTCCCTTGAATAGTCGAACGAATTGACATTAAAACCCTTTCTTTCCAGAAACTTTTAAATGAAAAACTTGGTAACTCGAGACTCACGTGCCATCTCCAATCCCACCAGCAGCTCTCTAAGTCACCCACCACTATTGACATTACTAATCCAACAATCTAATTACTTGCGCACACCCCACCAACAAAAACAACCTTTCCCTCAACGATAAACACATGTTAATTGAGTGAACTAACTAGATTAGAGCCGAAAATTATCACAGATATCGTGATACTCCAATTTGCACGCAACCGACCAAAACCTGTCTACAATATCCGATGTGTCGCACATCGTAACCTAGCCCCTGAGTACAATAGCTACCACCCCAATGTGGTGCCCAGCAGTTTCTAGGGTTATTATCGTGCTAACACGCGTGCCTCGAACGTACCATGAATTTACATACAGGCACTTTTCACTCGATGACCCCATGGGCTTTGTATTCCAGTTGAAGGAGTATAAGGCCAATGTGTTTCATATTCGTGCTGTTGTCGTGCTTTGAATTTGCATGGTAATTGTTCAAACTCAGGATTGGTATGCCAGTACAATACCAGATGGTTATCATTTTATTTTTCGATGACATTTAATAAGATATAACTATCGAAAATCAGTACTCAAGCCGATCTTCGCTGCTGGGGGCCTATCTCGACACTTGGGAATGTAATCCGTGAATGAATATTTGGTATTCCTTTGAGACCGCTGATCCATTAGACACTTCCACATACGAATGTGATTCGTAGACAGATCGGCAACATTCATTAACGGATTTGTCATTCCGTTAGACTTGCGATTCTCATCTACGAATCTTTAGGATACATCGTACGGGAATAGGATTCGCGTGGGAGATAAAATTGTCGAAACGAAAGATTTTCCCTCACGAATTTAAAATTCCCAAACGAAAGTGATCAACGAATCATTCGTTCCTTCACGGATTATGTTCCATTCACGAAAGACGTTTCGGTAATTTTGAAAAAAGGTTATACAAAAATCCCGCGGTTTGATTTAGGTTCAGAGATACTTCTTGAAAACCAAGAGTAGACAATTAGTCTATTTGGCTCGTCTTGCGGCTTCGCTACTCAAATTATAAGTTATTACAATTACGTCGTCAGATTCGCCCCAAGGTGCGGAATAAAAGGGGATAAAGGCATAAAAAAACACTCACAGAATTCCTTGATCGTCGGATTCATTTCAACTGATGAATAGAAAGGGTGAAAAATAAATGGCTCGAACATCCTAACTCAGGGGTATTTTCTCTGTAGTTATTTTTCACTCCTATTCTTCACTGGAATAGGGGCAAACCACTGAGTGATAAAGAGACAAAGCGGCCTTTTATCGTCTTCGTGGGCTTGTGAATGGAAAAGGGGAGGAGAATGGAGCGTCTCCAAGATCCATTGAAAATTTAGAGAACGACGCGTAGCTTGGGTTGGCAGTAATGCCACTCGTAAGACGATGGCAATTAGACGATGAGAGGAACGTTTTCACGAGAGGTATGCTTTACCTACAGAATGGTGGGGTTTTCCACTGCGAGAATATCGGCGAGTTGGAATGTAACTGAAGAATTAGAACTAATCCATCTCGTTAACAAGTAACAGTTCTCTCCCTGACAGAAATAAATATCAAATAATTTCTCGCGCCAAATACCTCATCTCGTGAGAATAAATGGCAAGACAAATATTTCGTAGAATGACTCAGTCGTGTTTGAATTTCCAGTCTTCATCATTTCAACAGGAATATTTCACGATGGAGTGAGCATTTTTTTACTCGAGAAAGCATTTTTGTGTATTAAAGACGAAAACATTAGTATAAATCTTAAAAGGACGGAGTGAATCGTGAAATGAATTCGAGCGGAAGTAATTACCAGGGTTTCATAAAATCGCGAAGCTTTCGTGGAGTTGAAAGCGAAATATTTTCAGTTATGTCACGCATGCGAATAAATTACAGAAAAATCCAGGGCCTTCTCAAAATTATTCTGTTGGACTTCTGCGATTTCTCGATGCAAAATTAAATAATTTCTACCAAATCTACCAATCTCAAGGCAATTTTGGACAATGAAGTTCTTCTTCTGTAAAATTTACTTTTTCTCGACACAAAACGTTTTACCGCTTCACTACTGAAATGTTTTCACCTCATTCCACATAAATTGAAAGCAGCATCTTTGGTGGCTCGAGAAATTACTCTCGGTTGATAAATAATCATCACGGGCCGTCAACTTCTAGATTTATATTTTTTCGCTCTTACCTGGAACTATTCGGAGGATTGGTTGTCCCGGCAAAGATGGTGGGTGCTCATCCTCGGGTGATCTCTCCGATGCATAACCCTGATCCTGTGGCTCTCCACCAAGTCTACTCGTTTTGATATCAGTTAAATGATCAAACTGACGATGCTTCATCAATTCGCACTCCGGTTTGTGAACGACTTTCATTAATAACTCCCCATCGGGATTGTTACTCTGCTGTTGGAACGCCTGAATTCTTGATGGATCACACCACTTCGGATCGATCCGCCTCTTTGGTAATGTACCAACAAGATCGAGATGATTATTGTGGTACTTGTCATCGTAAACACGCGAGTATCTCACTGCCGAGTCTACGGTGTCTACGCTCTGATTTTTACGCACAAGGTCGAAGTTACCGTGTTTGCAACGGACGAGATCCAAATCGCTGTCATGTTGATACCTAGGATAATAATTAATCCTCATTTAATTTTAATTGATCAGGAAGCCTGGCTGATGTTCAGTAACGACTGCAACTTCTATCTCAATTTTTCTGGCTTTTATTTAATGTAAGATTAATTATTATTGACGTTTCACTTAATTAACAGCATTTTAGAAATTCAAATTGATTCAGAATTCTCATGATGGGTCATTATCAATGTTTTAAAGACAGTCTGACGTATCGAATTTTCTGCAAAGTTGAAATCAATTTAGAGGGAAAATACTAGCGGAATTATAATGAAGAACGATAATAAAACTGTAGAAGAAACAAGAGAATTGTGATACTGGGCATGTAGAACGAACAGATCGATGAATCAATTAATCAACATCTATCCATCTATCTACTTATGCGATTGTAAATTGCACTGAATTTTAATTGATTCTAAAGACAATAGTACCTACATTACGAACTTTCAATTAAAATGATAAAAATCGGCGGCAGTATAGACTGCGCAATTTGTTTACACCAAGACTAAAAACGTAAATCTGACACTCAGCAGGAAGTCGTTCTTGCAAATTATTTGGCAGTCGTTATCAATCAATTTATAATTACACGCAATGACTGTTGTACAGTAATGAGAGGCGTCTACTTGTTGCTAAATCTCTCCAACGCCACCTCAATAAACAATATCTTGGCTTTATATAACTTCTGGGCTAGTACAAGTAAGAAGCTCTGTACTTAACTCTTAAGCAAATGTATGTTAACTCGTTCGAGAAATGCTAACGTTTCTCACCCCTGTACAATATAACGTATTTGAACAACGTAATGAACTGAACTAATTAAAAATTCAGGGATTTACTTCGCTGTATTTTTCCTCTTTTTCTTCATTTGAATTTTCGTTTACGGAAGAGGATTTAGTTTTTACAAGACAATATTCTTTCAGCGATTTGATTTTTCAGTCTCACACAGAGAAAAAAAATTCGTTCAACGGAAAGAGATTTTCATGTTCCATGGAATTTTTTAAGAGTCGGGTTAAGTTTTTCCATAAATTCATGTAATTTGCGTGATGCCTAGAAATGATTCAATTCCAGAAGATCAGTTCTAGTTTCAAAAATACTTCCGACGCTCTGTGTGAGACTGAAATGAATCATGAGACGACTCCACGATTTTTTAAATTTACAAGTGCATATTTTCTTTTATGAAAAAAAATAATGACAATTATTATAAAAATTATTACCAGAAAACCCAATTTTTATCTCGTCGATAGATTAATGCCCATTCGCATCGCTATCTTTCATCATAATGTTTTGTTCCACTCACCTCCACGGATTTCCCTCTAATGAATCCTGCGAGCGATATCTCACAAGATCGAGAGCCCCCACTGGACTATCAGAGGAATGCACCCCGTGAATTCTCTTTTTGTGGGGTAGTGTGCCCCCTAAATTTCCGCTCATCGTGTCGGATATCACGTTGTTGTTGTCTATCAGATCATCCTCCAGGGACTCCTGATCGTCCAGATTGTTCGGCAGAGACCCCGATATTTTGTACCTTAAACATGAATCAACGATCGTTTCATTATAATCTCTCACCAATCCCTTATTTTCTTTTGTGGAAAACCTCGCGAGTCGTTTGATTTTTCTATCCATTTCCATTAATGATCACCTGCCCAGGCTGATGATGTTAATTAACTTCTTTATATGAATTATCAATTAGCAATTGTTTTTCAGTGCGAGAGGTCAACCAAATGTTGACAATAGATGATATTCTATTTAAAAATAAAAAACCCATGGATTGTTGAGAGCTTACCTTTCTTGTGGACCACTAGAGCATGGCACCAGTATCTTTCCAACGTGATTGAGTTTTCCTTTGGGGTCACAGAGATTGCCAGAGGACTGTGCCCTGCGTCCAGTGAGGCCTTTTTCGCTGTGCCTACTGAAATTCGAGCCCATCTTATCCCCATTCGTATCACCCTCACCATCAACAACTACATAACCAGGACTATTCTCCTTATTCGGATAATTGAAGTATTTGCTTATGTCCCGGGCATTGATCTTGTATTTAGCTGGTATCGGTGGTGGTGGACGACGTTTGTTATTGTCCGATAGATCACGCAGCTGGGGACGGCAAAAACTTAGATAATTTGTGTGGTCAACCTCATCCTCAGTTTGGTTGTTGTTTATCTGGTGGCGCCAGGAATCCTGACCACCAGGCGAAACTACCACCCCCTCACCTGAAAAATGAAAAATTACTGAATAAAATTGGAGACACACGCTGAGTGGATAATTAATCAACGCCTCAATGGGCCAGATGCGGCATTTCTCTTCTTTCACGGGAGAAAATTCTCCCCAACAATTTTTTCCATCCCCTTTGTAATTCAAGAGTTTTTATCGCGCAGGTGTACACTTCTGGGGTGATAATGCTTTTGATGGGGAGGGGCTTTATCGTCTGCACTTTGCATTCATCATTTTGCATTCAGTATGTATAGTACTCGTCTTCAAGAGTTCTTTTCGAGATTTGGCCGGTTTTCCTGGTAGGGAAGGATGGACTTCTCACCTAAGAGGAAATGCTGAATTCACGTTTCAGATTTCAACTTGAGTGTGAAAGAATATTTTTGGGGTGTTATTGCGGATATCTTCTCAATTTCCAAGTTTTTTCCAAATTTCTGAATTCGGAAAAACGGTTGATCAAATTGGCGTAAAAAATATATCGCTTTTACGTTTTATAACTTTTCTCGAATTGTTACAAAAATTCACTCAACTTTGCCAAAAATAAAAAAATAAACGCAGGACTATGAAAATTACAAAATCATAAAATATGATAAACCCAAAAAAATCGTAATTTTTTCGCATCGTTCTTTTCCACGGTTTCCCAGAAATTTTCAAAAAAAAAATAAAAAATGAAAAGTTATTAGCAATAACTCCGTAAGTTTTAGAGTATTTTTTTAAACTTCTCTTACTATTCGAGTCGACGCAAAAAAGTTAATTAATTCAATTTTACTTGATTTGAGGAAGCGCTCGAAAAGTTCTTGCAATTTTTTTTCAACGATTTTTTAAAACGATTTTGTTCATTCATGAAGATTGAATGAAAAATGAGAAATACAATTCGAATGAGTCTGTATATACTGGTAACATAGAAAATTGCTGGGAATTATGAGAGATGAAATACTTCTCCCAGAATTTTTCTCTCCACTAGAATCATGAATTCGTAATGAAAAATTTCTGCAGCTCCATGCACTTCTATTCAAATCCCGATAGCGTCATGATTCATCGAACTTCTATTTTTCGGCTTTGATAGGATTTTCATAGCACGTGTGCGGTATGGAGGTTCCCACGGGAAATTATTTTCAATTATTCGAGCTGCTGGGTTCGTGATATAGTTCCTGGGTGATTGGTGATAGCGGATTGAGGGAGGGGCAGGAATGGGGAAAATGGGAGAAGGTGTTGTCGAATAGCATCAGATAGCTCGTTTTTGTTTGATCGTGAAATCGTAATCTGTGAATCAGGCATTTATAGGCCATGCGATAAATGTTTCGAGACACTGTACGGAGACCAATGCATTGCACCCGGCGACGTAATTGGCAATTGTTCTGAATTTTTTCTGTATTGATGCACTCAGGGAAAGCACCAGAAAAAAAATCTAAATTATAATTTTTTATAACAAACATTGATATATAATTTATTCTGTGAATTTTATTTGCAAAGAGGAAACCGTTTTCATTATTTTTTAATTAAGAAAATTGATGATGATGATGAACATGAATAATTGCATTGTGATGATTGAATACTAAATTCAATTGCATTGCCAATAATTTATTAATTTTGTGGAGCAGAAAATGGAAATTGTATTAAATATATAATATATGGAGAAATTTTTCGATTTTCTCGCAAAAAAAATAATAATTTAATATAAATTTAGGATTGTTAAGAATTTCAAAGTTTTCTCCTTGAAATTTTAAAAGTAATTATGACACAGTGTAAAAATACCGTTTGACTCAGAAAACTATTATGATTATCAATCACTTCCGATCTCGAGCCACGTAAACACGCGGTGGAATCTTGAGCTATAAACTATGTAACCGGTCCTTAAAAACGAGGAATTTTCACAAGCCAAAATATTTCCTACCTCTTCCATTGGAAAAATAACAGACTGGACTCATTCCCTCAACTCGCGACTCACAACTAAACTCATTCCCCAGTGACTGATAACTCGAGAGTGTCTCAATAAAAAAAAAAAACTGCCCGAGATAAGGTGAGACTTCTTTCTCCTGAAGTTCCAAGAAAAGATGATCGTTTATCTCACAAGCCAGTCCTTGACACAGAGCAATAAAGTTTTCTTCTGCTCCCTTTGACTCCTCCGGAAATAGTGTCTGGACCTGACAGACGTTATCAATAAACGCTTTTTATCAACAGCCTAGACGAATTCCCGAGTGGCCGTTAAAATTGCTAATCAAAGTGTCAGTGGCCATTATAATGAAAATTAGTGATTGCCAAGTCAGTTGGGCGTCAGCAATTACTAGAATCATTCTTGTGTTAGAAATCACAAGATTACACCATGCGTAACTATTCTTTAGAACCCATAAACCGATTTCATAAGAACATGATGTTTCACTAAATAAACCCTAGTAATAAAGTAGATCGCTCTGAGTCAAAACCATTGTCTCACTTGAATCAGGTCGAGTTTGACTTGATTTACGTCAAGTTGTCGGTTTGATTGAAGTTCATTTTTCGACCTAATTAAAGTTACTGCTTGGGTTTTATTCATCTCCATTTTTCTCGCAGAGTACTTGAAACTTGGAATTTTATTCAAACCAACTATTCAGCTTGATTTAGCTTCTTCGATCTGATTTACATTGATTCGTCAATTTAATTCAGGTCGACTCTCCAATCTGATTCAAATCAATTCCTCAACTTAACTGAACTTAATTTTTCCCATACCATGAACCAATGCTCCATACATCCGAACTCCCACTGTAATTTCTAACAATAACTTTATCAACCCAATTAGATCCACAATTCCACATCTGCGTGTCTCCGAATTTCCGTCTCCTCTGAATTGCCCTCTCACTCATTCCCCATGCAATTCCAACCAGTGCTAATCAATTTTTGATAGTCACCCCGAAAACTTCAGGTATCATAAGATTCGGGGAGGGGTCAGGGGCAGACGGCAGTAATGAGGGTTAAAAATGGGCGAGAGAGAAAAACAGAATAAATCCGACAACTAGGAAGTGAAGAAAACTTTGAAGGCAAGTTTTGTCCTCTCAAGACGACACCGAGACAAGAGTTTTCAACTATACAGAGACTGGAGCGAAATTTCGCGTGAAGATTCTCCCTACCACCTCGGAGCAGACATCTTTTTTTATTATTTCACCAGGAGACGGTGGAAGTGCACGAGGATATAAAAACAACGGAATACCAAGTGCCTGCGGATAGCGTGACGGCACAATTAATTAACAGTTTTGCATGTACACGTAACGCATATGTAACACTAAAATGGTGAACGGGTCGATGAGAAAAGCGGAAGTCGAAGCTGTCTGTTGGATATATATATTTTTTTTCTTCTCATCTGGCTTTGCCTTTTTCTTCATTTTCCTCCACTTCTCGTGGATTTTGTTCGCAGGTACGCGTTTCACTCTGGATGAGAACAAATGGGTGAACGCAGTGCGAGAAAGAGTATGAAATATCCAGGCAATATCACATTGCTCGTGAGAGTCGATCCTCCAGGGATATTGCGTATTATCTGCCATTGGTAGTGTCGGGGTAACACTGTGTGGGAGTATGTATTGAAAGCTTTTATGCCGGGGATACATATGCCATGGGCAATCGCATATGGCACTCGCTATTTTTTCTTCTCTTCTTTTTTTTTCTCCGGTTTTGCGGATTCAGCATCGGCGATACACTGACCGCCGGGATTTATTCGGAATGATTGGAAATACCAGAACGTTTGATGTCAAGAATTCAGGATGTGTGAGCACCGTTCACAGCTCGATCCCGACCATAAGTGGATTCACTGATTTTTTTTATATTTTATGGAAAATAGGAAAATATAAGGGCATTACACTCTTGAGACCTACATTACCCGCATGCAAAAAAATCTCGATCACGTATTTATGGGATTGATTGTCATCCATTTTTTTTGTTTGTATGAAAGTTGAATGGTTTGAATGGTTTTTGAAATTTTATGGGAAATTCGAGAATAAATCGGATGAGAATTGAGCGGAATTCCATTCTCGGTGGGAATTAAATGAAAAAAACACGTTTGATTAACTTTTACATTTTTCTCTCAATTTTTCTTATTTTTTATGAACTTTATGGGATTAATGCATAAAATCTGAACCCCTTTTCAGCCAAAATGATTTAATGACCCCGGGACATGTCACGATCATATGCAATAATTTTCCTTCGCTTTACCCCACCATTCCTGAAATTCATATAAATTTATAACAAACACAGGAAAATTATCGCACGCTAATAAAACTTCACGAGTCATAAAATAATGATAAAATGTAAACACTGTATATTTTTTCAGATCAATCAAATCAATCCGATCAACGATTTGCCAGAAATCTCACAAACCGGCGATTTCGGCTAAAAGGAACCAGAAAATTATTAATTTTTCAATTTGATAAAATTTGTTGACCCAACCAACTTTTCCGAAAAATAGAAAATCTTTTCTCATGTGTCAGGTAATTTTTCCGATTGCAATAAAATGTCTAGATTTGAAGTAACTCATGGCCTTGGCCAATCCCACTGTTAATCTCTCTAATTCACGCGTCAGCCTTTCATTCCCTATTCAGATTCGATTTCGCGGAATGCAACTAACGACACAAGAAGGAAAAAAAAAATGCCAGACATAACTACGCTGAAACGCCAATTTCATCCTGAAATATGATGCGCAATTTGAATAACAATGCCCCTCTAAATTGCCCCTAGAGCGGGCATCCTGGAAATATTGATAAATAAATGACCACTAAGAGGGCCAGGCATTTGTGTATGTTTTCATCGCAGTAAATGACTCTCTGGGTGTCACATGGAGTAATATGCGAGCCGAGTTTCAACCAACCACTGTGTGGGCGAAACTCGCTTTGCATATTTTCATACTCGCCGCACAGGTTATTTACCATAGAAGACTACGGAATTCCGGACTAGTCCACACAACCGGTTGCCAAAATCACGCATTAAAAATATTTTATTGCATTCCATTCAGGGATTTTGAATTACAATTAACGAATTT